GCATACAATTTGGTAGCTTGTCAGAGGAGTCCTAGTGGATGTGAATATCTCATACGTGGGCGCCTCAGCCCACAGTGAGCAGGAGGTGGAAAATCGGGCTGAGTTGCCATCCAGGTCTGAGGGGGCCTCTTAGTATTTCCCTGGCCCTCGTGCTTATCATCAGCCAGGTCCCATGGATTCATTAGGCTCTTGATGAAAAGCAACCCAAAGAACACTGCCAGCAAATGGTGCCGCGTGCTGGCGGAACATGGAGACTGCTCAGAGCAAGGGGAGCCGAGAGAGCTGCTGAAATGAAAGGTAGCATCCAGGGTGTGATCACAGACTCGCATAAGCGTTCAGGGTTCAGGACACAGTGTGCTGCTTGTTTAGGGAAAGCCTGGAGCCCTTTCGATTGTTAGCCGAAATCAATTGTACAGAAGGCCCTGAGAGGCGAGGAGGCGGGCTCTCTGATTTAATCTTTGTTGTGCTTGGGTAAATGCTAAGGGTTTGGATTGCTTTCTTTCTTGGAGGGGCATTTTCCATGGAAAACCAGAAGGAAACATACAAAAAACAACTAGTCTCAAATATGTAAAGGCCCAAGTGAGTAAAAGAAAGGATTCAAATTCACCCAGATTCCATTAAAGTGGGGGCTCAGGCAGAGTGGAGGGCATCAAAGTCGCTAAGCCTGTAGATCTAGCAGTGGGACAGACACAGGTGTATTTCAATTCCAGAGGGATGTTTGTTGTTATCCTGAGCCCAAGGATCATCAGGCGAAGAAAGAGATGCTCAGCGGGAAGGGGCACCAGATGTAAGCAAGGCTCATCCTCGTCGATGGTCTCACAAACGGGGTGAGGTAGGAGAATACTGGCTCCCCACAGGTGTTTAAGGGGAAGTAAGACCACAGATGAAATGGAGGCTACCGATGTTACTCATTGTGGGTTTCGACTCCTAGGGACCTAAAGGAGAGGGTCGAATTCTCTTCTAGGGTGTGGAGGTTAAACATCTTTACAAAAGCAGGCTGTCAAATATTTCTCCCTGAGAGCAGTGGTTGGGTTGGCACTGCCAACCTGCGTGCGTAATCACTGTGTCTCTAGGGAGAATCTTACTGGATTTGAGAGAGACTCTCCCGATTATCTAGGTAGGCCCAATGTAATCATGAAGATTCTAGTAACTAGAAGACAGAAACAAAAAGAAGCTAGACCACTGGTTCTCAACCTTCCTAATACAGTTCCTCTTGTTGTGGTGACCCCCAACCATAAAATTATTTTCATGCCTGCTTCATAACTGTAATTTTGCTACTGTTATGAATCATAATGTAAATATCTCATATGCAGGATGTATTTTCATTGTTACAAATTAAACATAATTAAAGCATAGTGATTAATCACAAAAACAATATGTACTATATATTGTGAAATATTTATTTCTAATTACAAATAAATGAAATTTTGTCTTGAAGCATGGTGTAGCTTGGGTAACAGTCTTCAAGCCGGGTACTCGTATGTGGGTGTATCTGCATGTGAGCGGACCCGCCTAGAGAGAGATAGAGGAGCGGTGTCTCGGTTCCTAAGATCATCCAAAATATGTGATTTCCGATGGTCTAAGGCTATCCCTGTGAAAGGGTCATTCAAACCCCCAAAAGGGTGATGACCCACAGGTTGGGAACCGCTGAGCAAGAGCGATGCGATTGATGGGAGAAGGACTAAGCCATAACGAAGAGAGGTACAGGTCAAGGAATGCTAGACAACGACAAGGAAATAGATGATTCCAGACGGACCATAGTCCTGCCAACACCTTTGTATTAGCTCAGTGCCACCCACGGTGGACTTCAGAACTGTGAGGAAATATAAATCACTGAATCTGGTAAGAGCGGTAACTGAAAACAAAAATGCTGCATGTTTAGAAAATGCATCTGAGGTTTCAAAATGAGTTTCCAAGTTCATTGACATTCAGAGAGTCACGTAGTAAAAGGGTAGGAAGAAAGCAGGGATAAGATCCAAAAGAAGCATATATCTAACAGATAGCACTGTTAGATATATTACACACATTGTCTCAAAAAATCTTTTTAACAGTCATGTATCTTTTTGAGGATATATGATTAGTTCCAATCGATGTGACTCACTGTGACCCTATGGGACAGGCTCAAATGCCCCTGTGAGTTTCCAAGACTGGAATTCTTTATGGGAGTAGAAACAGATGGTTTCAAACTGCTGACCTTGCAGCTAGTAGCCCAAGTAACCACTCTGCTACCATGGCTCCTATCTATTGATGAGGATTATTTTTTAAAGTAAAACTAATTATGCTCTTCACCTAATTAAAATCCTCTTGTGGCTCCATATCTTGCCAACTCCAAAGTTCAAAATCCTATTCAAAATATGTAAAGTTTTATGTAATTTTACAGTAGAGATATGCCAGTCATGAATAGAAATCTATAAATGATAAGGGGATGGAAACTAGTTGTGAATCCTGGATTATGTTTTCCTAAAAAGGTTCTAACAATTGTAATTTCAATTTCTTTTCTTCTTTCCTGGGTGTTACATTTAGAAACATTTCAGATACGAGTGTTGTTGCTGGGCATCTTGACACGATTCTGATTCATGTAACAACCCGATAGGGCAGAATTTTCTTAGCAGGGATCTTTCCGGAAGCTGCGTGCCATATCATTCTCCCTTGGAGTCAAGGGTGAGTTTGAATTGCCAACATTTTCATTACAGTTGGTCATTTATTCCTTTGTTCCACTGGCTCCTAATCCTACCTCTAGATTTTGCATGCACTGTTGATTTAATTTTTATTTTGAAGGAAGGAGGAGATAAGCAAGTTATCTTTTAACTTATGCTCTAAATTAGCAAGGTAGTTTCTGAACCAATGTTAGCTTATGGCTCTTTCCTATTGGGTTAGCACTTAGGCTTTTTCAGCTTCTAAATTTTGCCATTTTGAAAATGAGTGTTGTTACCGTTCACAAGTCTCTTGACAAGGTCTCCAAGGTTGAGTTTATCTTCCTCTTACTTAAATTAACTTCAGCCGATTACATCGATGGTGTTAGCATAAAGTCATATCAACATTCCGCTATCTTGTCAATCACGGTTATATTCAAAGGGACATTAATTTTTTTGAAAAGTCACAATAATAAAGCCCTACTGTCAATGAAGTTATAGAAGATGAAGATAGATTGATTTCTCAGGCAGATAGCAGTCTAGGGTGGATATTTCTGGTCAACTCTGGCTTTGGGGGATTGTTCAGCCTAGAGAATGTGCAAAAAAAGGATGAGAAGGCTTTAATGCTTCTTGGAAGACTTAACCAGGAAGTGACATCACTTCTTACATTCTCCTTTTGAGAATTAGTCACAAAGCCCCAAAAAGGAATGAGGAAATGCTGCCCCTGGATGGACTGCCATTCACAGAAACACAATTCCCCTGAGAAAGGGGAGTCACAAATACCTGTGGATAGCTTGAAACCTTCAGCCACAAAATCACGTTTTAAGTGCCTTCCAAGCAGAAGGCCTTAGCCCCCAGCACTGCGTCGAACAATCTTCTGCTAGTTTTCATAAGGGTTCCAGTGACTAAGCCCTCAGAACTGGACCGCCTGCCCCATTTTTCAGGACTGTATCTGACAACGTTCTGCTACTAGTCAGAAGGTTTTCAATGGCTAATTCCTCACAAGCAGACAGTCGGCTGCTTTTTGAAGTTTAGACACTCCACTGAAATTTGTTCTCCTCAGGCGACCCTTCCGATATTTAATTTTGGGGGTAATGTCTGTAGTGTACACTCCCTTTGGAAACCAGCTGCCATCAAGTCAATCCCTCTTTCTCGCCATATGTCATACGTCTCAGTAAAATTGTTCTCTGTAGGGTTTTTTTGTGGCCAATTTTTCAATAATAGAGGGCCTAGCCATTCTTCTGAGGCACGTCTATTTATACATCTATTATCTATTAACAGTTGTGTGCTATTTACATCTCCTAGAGATTCCTATGCTCCCAAACCACATAAAAGGTATTCTCTTAGAAAGTCAGTTTTCATATACCTCCTCCTGGGAGTCTGGTGGGTTATGAGTGATGCTACTAGCAACAGATCCGCAGTCTGGGATCACCAGCTATTCTGCAGGAGAAAGACAATGCTTTCTGTTCCTGTAAAGATTTACTTCCTTGGGAACACACGCTGCTAGTTTTCCTATTGGAGAGTTATGAGTTGGAATCAACTCAATGGCAGTGGATTACTCCTTATTTATCCATGACCACATTATGTGACATATTACATTTATGGTAATAGTATATAATCTATTATTTGATGATTGAGGGTATTGAAAGCACACATCTGAAGTTATGAATGCCAAGATCTGAGGCAAGAACAATGGTAGTAATGAGTGTAAAGGTTATGTGTCAACTTGACTTTGCCATGATTCTCAGTGCTTTGGGAGTAATGTGATAATGTAGTCATCATCCATTTGTATCAGATGAAGTCATCCTCCATGCTTGTATAATACTGATTTCTACATAATGGCCTGGTCTTTAAAGCCTAGCAGTGTGGAGAAATGCGTAGTTGATATAATTATTTGGTTAATATCTCTCTTCCTCATTGACTGTAAGCTTCTTGAAGGCAGAACGACTGTTGCTATATTCATTGTTTTCTCACTTCTCAACAAAACACATCGCATAGTGCTTGGCACATAGCAGATTTAATACATGATTTTGCACAAATGAACGAATGAATAAAAGTAAAGCTGGTCCTCATTATTTGCAATTATTATGTCTCGTAGAGAGTCATTTAGTAAATATCAAGCAAGCCTAGTTTGACCTCATTGAGATTTTTTTTTGCAGTAAGTATTTTAAGTAAATAGAGGAACTCACAACAAAGGAATCTGTTAGTAATGAGGAATAATTATACTAAGTTCCAATGTCAGTAAATTATCTCTTAAGGTACTTCCTATGTTGTAAGCTATCTTTAGTTGTTAAAAAAAAATAGGTAGCATGCTGAATAAGAGAAATAAAAATTAAGACCCTTTCTCCTTTTCCTCTTTCCACAAAGGACATGATGCAATTGTCACCCTCCTGAAACATTTAAGAGACCGCAGGATGAATTGCCCTGTAATGAGTATTCTCAGCCAGGAGGAGGTACCCTCTTCTCACTCAGTTTTCATTGCTAGTGTAATTTTATGCCTAATGGTAGACCAGTGTTCTGCTATCACCATTCTATGGCTAGTGGGGAGGCCATACGGTCAATTGCCTTTATTTATTTATTTTTTAAGAAAAGGTTTGCTTGGCTGAGACTGAATGCAAGGAAACCTCCATAGAGTTCTTTTCTAATTCACAAATCTGCTATTTCTCTGCTCGTGACCAGCAAGAACTGGAAAGCTGAGAGCAATCATTGCTTTTTCAGGCCCCAGAGTGCTCATATCCAGGCACAAATGAAATCTATGGCATCTCCTAGCCACTGACTTAAACAAACATCTTCTTCCACACTTTGCTGTACATTTTCAGCAGCCACACGACAGACCTGTCCTTTAGGCTATAGTTTTACTTGGTTGTCTTTAAGTATTGTGTTGCTTTTTAAAGGTTGAACTTTTAAATATTCATAAATCATTGCTACTCTTAACTCTATCATTTCATTGTATTTCTAGATGGCTCCTATGTATCTGTCCCAGCTTCCTTAGGAAAGATTAAAAGTATGACAAAAGGTAATTTTACAGAAGGGCAATTGTTAAAAATAGCATTAGCAAGGATAACTATCTCCTCAGATCTGGCAACTTTCTATTATATTTCACATATTACTAATGTTGGGTATTTTTTCTAGCATAAACACTCTTATCATTGGACCTTTCCATAATTAACCTTACCTGCTGTGTTATTTTGCGTATGCCCTCACAGTAAATGGGGTATAATTACTGAGAATTTCACATGATGATTAAAGAAATATTTTATTTCTGTAACATTTCTCAATATTTTATTGTTTTATAAAATGTAAATTACAAAGATTACTATTCATTTGAGAAAAGTTGAGACTAGTTTGCCTAGAACACATATTTGAAAAATTAAATAATACTTCAAGAGATTACAAATAAATGATAATTGTAAACTTTTGAATGAATGCTGCATAAAAATGGTTTGGTCAGGAAGGTAAAAAACATAATTCAAGTAATTTATATTTAACTACTTGCAATTTAAAGTCTTTTAAAATTATTTTGGGGGCTTGGATATCTCTTCTGAATAATTTATAAGCTTATGGCCTGTCATTTGATTTTCATGTCCTTAAGGTTTAGTTTCTGATTATTTGGTTAAGAATACTATGATAGGTTGAAGGGATTGACCAGTTGTAAGTGTGTGGTAAAGTTCAGGCTAGCTGTCATCAGGCAAACTGAGTATTCATAGGTGGGGCATAAAACTTCATCCCTAATAATCAAGGTCAGGTGATGGAGACAGAGAGCACACTTTTAAGGGATGGGGTTTTAGTATCTCCATGTACTTAATTAAAATGGGAAAACTAAGTGTTTCCAGGGAATTGTTGGTTAAGTAAAATGTGCATGCGTATGCACATGAGTACGCATGTGCGTGAGGATGTACACATCCGCATTATGTGCTCATTTCAATGACAAACACCAATTGCTGCTTACAGAGAAAGCAGACGGTCTCTTTCTCAGGGCTGGGCTGCCCGCACATGTCCATCTTCAGCTCTCAGAAATTGAGTTCCATGAGATTATTGGCTCAGGTAACCTAAGAAAATATGTGTCCGCTTTAGTTCAATGAGTCCAAAATGGCATATGTTTCCTAATTTATTTTAAATATTGTAGGTTCCTTTGGAAAAGTATACAAAGGACAGTGCAGACATAAAATCGTGGCTATAAAATGGTAAGCCAGCAAATGAGGTAATTCAGCTTCTAGGTGGGTGTGTAACCTCTGAGAAATATCTCAAAGGAGCCTCTTGTCTTGATCCACATACTAACTGAGAATTCCCACTGCTGCTGTTCCCAGTTGTCGCGCCAACACCTACTGCTCCAAGTCAGATGTGGACACGTTTTGCCAGGAGGTGTCGATTCTCTGCCGACTCAGTCATCCCTGTGTAATTCAGTTGTGGGTGCTTGCTTGAATGACCCCAGTCAGTTTGCCATTGTCACTCAGTACATCTCAGGAGGTTCTCTCTTCTCCCTTCTACACGAGCAGAAGAGGTATGGATTCTCTCTTGCGATTGGTCATTTGTTTGGCCTTTGGAGTTAACCTTGAACCACCTTAGAGGTTTACAGCTTATATGAATCTTCACTATCTGAAATTTCTGAGTCTTACAAAGTGGGGCATTTTAAAGATGGTTAAGCGTTGCATTTTGAATATAGTTAATACATTATGCCCAATAATCATGTTTTAATAAATGTGGCTGCTTCTTTGCTTTCTTAACAAGAATTCAGTTGAGGGTAACAAATCCCAAGGGATTTAAGTTAGTAACTGGTGTTCATAATTATCAGGCTAAATTTCACATACCAATAATGCAGATATATGTAATATTGGAATAAAATAATTTCCAGGGGTTGCAGCATATATTAATTCTTTTTAAAAAAAGAATGCACTTACCTAAGTCTTCTTTGAATTCACTTCCTAGATTTATGCACACAGTAATGACAATGCAATTTCATTCTGTCATTTATTAAAGTAGATTCCATTTTTATGCAACAATAAAAGAATTAAGTATAATATTACAAATAATATAAAATCAAGTGGACTGTTTTAAACATAGGGATTGATATCCCAAGTAGATCTGTAATTAAAGATTATCTGATGTAGAAAAGCTGTTTTCCAGATTTGTTGAGTTTATAGCCTAATTTTCAACAAAGCGTGTGCACACACACACACAACACCCTGGAATGAAAACACAGATACCATTTGATTTAATTTAGAAACATGGTATTGGCTTTGACCATTTTGTCCTCATTAAATCTATTTTTATGTTCTAGGTTTCTTTACTTTCAGTCTAAATTAATTATTGCAGTCGATGTTGCCAAAGGTATGGAGTACCTTCACAACCTGACACAGCCAATTATACACCGGGACCTGAACAGGTAGTCTGTTTTCCTTAATAAACTTAGAATTGTGCAACTGTCTCCAAACCTTTGACAGATTTCAGTGGAGATACATCTAAGATTTATTGCAGACAAGGTTTATCTACATACTCTAGGGGTTGTCAAAAATGTAGGCCATAGAAAATTTTGCCATTGACTTTCTCAGGAATCAAAAGCTATATATCAACCCTTCAGGGTTATTTCAGATATATGAATAATGTTCAGAAAGATATCTGAAAGATTCGCCAGCTAGCTCAGTCCAAGATCCGAAAGGCCCGAACAAGGACTGAGCTCTGTGACTATTCTAGAGTGCCTATTTCATACAAAGTGGGATAGGAGAGAAGGACCTGCTATAAACTTACCTGAAACACTACTTTTATGATGCCATTTTGCTGTTTTTGCATTAGTAAATTGAGCTCAAACACAGCAGCACATTTACCTAGTTTATGACAGCAGAGGATTTCCTGTAAAATAAAGGCTTGGAATAAACATAGAGCTAGCGTGCTCCAATAGTTGTTCCCCAAGGGGTAGGGCAATATATGAAACAGGGCATTTTAGTTCTAGACAGACTACTGGGCAAAGAGCTCTGTTTACTTATTTACCATTTTTGACTGCCCAAGAGTGGGAATCCCTGACACCCTCAGTGGAATCCCAAAGGTTGTGTTAATCTTGTTTAAGAAACACATCAGATTATTTTATATAAATGATATTCAGCACATGCATGATTGTCAAGAAGGTCCATGTGAATCCTACACAGATTTTTTAATACAACTTGCATAGTTCTGAAGCTACTATTAGTGAACTCATTCAATCATTCATTGAACATCTATCTGAGCATCAACTCTATTTAAAGCTTTCTACTTGTCATGATAGATCTTGCAAAGTGGAATTGCCATAGATTATGTTAAGCAATTTTTCTTGTTCTAATATAGGGGGAAAAACATAAATATATTTTAAGATATAAAGTAAGTTGGGAAGCTGATATCACAGAGTTCAAGAAGGAAGGGAATATTTTTAAATCAATTGTGGTAACAATTGTACAATATTGCCTGATGTAATTGAACAATGGAGTGATATGATATCTGTAAAAGAAAGTAAAATTTCTGTAAAAGAAATAGAAACTACCTATAAAATGTTAGAAAGAATAATATTATTTACTTCTGAGGACTTAGAGACAATATTGTGGAATTTAGAAGCTGTGTCGTGGAAAACGTGACATTTGAATATTGTCCTGAGGAATTGGAGGAAGAGTGATTTGGACTTAGGTAACTGTAAGAAAGGCGTGGAAGTGGTGTCCTACCTCCTGTGACTCCATAAAGCAGATGGAGAATTAAACTCAACCTCAGCCCAATGCTGATTCTGATGAGGAGTGAAATCAGATATGCCTCCAGGTTTCTATACTTTTTACCACTTCTGACACCAGCTACTCCCCCACCCCCATGGCACTCCTTACATAATTTCTAGTTACAATAATGTACTACAATGGTCACTTGGAAATTGCAAATTATAGACCAATATCACTGATATTACATGCAATTAAATAATCCTGAAGCTCATCCGACACGACTGCAGAAGTGCACAAGTTCAGCTGGATTCAAAAGAGGACAGGAAACCAAGGGCACCATAGTTGAGTCAGATGGATCTTGGCTGGAAGCAGAGAATGGTTCACTTGTGTTTTATGGACTATGCGAAGGCACTGGACTGTGTGGATTTTCACAGAGAACGGGAGTTCCAGAACACTTGATGTGCTCGTGTGGAACTTCTACATGGATCAAGAAGCAGTTGCTCAGACAGAACACGGGAATACTGTAGAGATTAACATCAGGAAAGGTGTGTGTCAGGGTTGTATCCTCTCATCATATTCATTCACTCTGTATGTGGTGTAAACCAACCGAGATGCTGGATGATATGAAGAAGAATTCAGCATAAGTTTTGGAGAAAGGTTTACTAACAACTTGTGATATGCAGATGGCACAACCTTGCATGATGAAACTGAGGAGAATTTGAAGCACTAGCTGATAACGATCAGGTATTGAGCCTTCAGTATGGATCACAACTCACTGTAAGAAAACACAAGTCTTCCCGACTGGATCAGTGGGTCACACCAAGATATATGGAGGAAAAGGTGGACGTTGTCAAGGATTTTTTTTTTTCTTGCTTGGATCCACAGTCAATACTCCTGGCAGTCAGGAGATCAACTGACATATGACCATGGGTAAATCTGCTGCGTAAGACCTCTTCAAAGTTTTGAAAAGAATAGCTATGACTGTGAGGACTGAGATGTGCCTGACCCAAGCCATGGTATGTTCAATTGCCTCATATGTGTTTGACAGTTGAATATTGGATAAGGAAGACTGAAAAAAAATTGATGTGTTTGAACTATTATGTTGGCACAGAATATAGAAAGTACCATGGACTGCCAAAAGAACAAACAGATATTTCTTGGAAAAAGTATAGCCAGTAGGCTTCTTAGAGGCCAGGATGGTGAGATTTGTCTCATAGATTGGGACATACCACCAGGAGGTCCAGTCCCTGGAGAAGGGCATCATGCTGAAGTAGCGGGGCATCAGAAAAGAAGGCCCTTGACAAGGTGGAGTGACACAGTGGCTGCAGCATGGGCTCAGGCCTAGGACCCAGGGTGAGGATGGCGCAGGACCCACAGTGCTGCATTCTGTTGTACAATGGTCACCAGGAGTGGCAACCCACTCAAAGGCTCCTAACACAACAACCCAGAACTCATGTACAATTCACACAATTTTAAGATACATTATCATTCAAGATAAGAAATATCCAAGTTACAGTTCTTTGGTTAGGACAGTTTGTTCTCTACCTTGTTCACAGGGAGACCTTGCTCTGGCTTAGGTCCTTTGGCCTGGTCTTGGCTCTGCTTGGGCAGTGTTACAAAGCTGTTTTAGCACAGCTGATATATCCCCAAGAGAATTCCTTTCTACCATAAATCTCAGCTCTTGACACTCAGCTCCATCCCCCTCGGGTCAGCAAATCTGGCTTCTCAAAGTAAGTGTCTGGAGGCACCCTACTTCACAAATGAGCCCTCATGTATGAGAGCAGATATTCTCATCTTCTCCAGCCGAGTGGCTTAGGCATTGATCTTGTGATTAACAATCCAGCATTCTACCCCATAGCACCAGGGCTCTTTCAAGGGATAGATCGCTTACTGCCAATTCAGTTCTGATTCATAGTCCTTGGTAGAACTGCCTCTGTAGATTTCTCTCCTTTCTTTCTTTCTTTCACTTAAAAAAAATAATTTTATTGAGGGCTCTTACATTTCTTATAACATTCCAAACATCAATTGTATCAAGCATATTTGTACATTTGTCATTATCATTTTCTAAACTTTTACTTTCTATTTGAGACCTTGGTATTAGCTCCTCTTTTTCCCTCCCTCCCCCCTCTCACCCTTGTGAGCCCTTGATAAATTAGAAACTATTATTTTCATATCTTACACTGACCGCTGTCTCCCCCCACCCATGTTTCTGCTGTTCATCTCCCTGGGGGATGGGGTGGTGATTATATGTTGATCATTGCGATTGGTTCCCCATTCCTCCCCTTCTTCCCTCCCCCACTTTCCCCTTACCCTCCTGGTATTGCTACTCCCATTTCTGTTCCCGAGGAATTTATCTGACCTGGATTCCATGTGTCATGAACCCTTACCTGTACCAGTGTACATGCCCTGTTCTAGCAGAACTGAAGGCAGGACTGGGGTCATGATGGTGGGGGGTGAGGAAGCTTCCAAGAACCAGAGGGATAGTATGTGTTTCATTGGTGGGATACTGCGCCCAGGCTGACTCATCCCTTCTGTGTGATCCTTTTGTGGGACAATGTCCTGTTGTCTACAGATGGGTGTTGGGCCTCTGATCTGACCCCCCGGGTTCTCAACAACATGCTTTCTGTTTGTTTGTGTGTTTATTACTCTATCCATAGCTTTGTTTCCTAGAACTTTCCTCTGTTTCCCTTTCCCTTTCTTCTGCCCCATCATCGTGTTCGCCCTTCTTCTGCCTCTCAGGCACTCCTCTCAGCTAGATTGCTGTAGCTACACCACCACTGGAATCTCTGTGTTCTACTCATTGTTGCTTTTAATTCCCTCCTTTCCCCTGCCTTTCTCCCCTCAAGTGCCTCTGGTCCATTGCTTTCTCCTTGAGCTTGCTTCCCATGCCTATCTTATATTGGTTGGCAAAACAACAATAACAAACAAAAGAGAAAGAGGGGGGAAAGACTGAATAAAAAGAGAAAAACAGCAAAAATAAGAAAATAAAGCAGTAACTCCCACCCTCCCCCAAAGAAAAAATGAAAAAGCATACATAATTATAGGTCTGTCTGCTGACTTTTATGACTATCTCCCCACTGGTCCTGGGGGTTCCGGAAACTGCACTTCCTAGCCTGAAGTCTATGTTTGGGGCTCCTCAGGGATTTTGTGGCTTGGCTTTGCTCTTGTTGCTGATCTGTTATGTTCCCTTCTTGATTTGCCCCATTGTGGGGGTGGTAAGACCAGACTCGCTCCCCATCATGTGTTCCCAGTATTGTCCTCTGTAACTGTTTTTGGGAGTAGAAAGTTTCATCTTTCTCCCTTAGGGATTAGATAGAAGTTAGACAACTTAGAGGTTAGAAAACTAAAGATATATGATGATGAACCTACTGCCATTGCGTCATGGCTGACTCAGCAACCTGCTGTGGTTTTCCTAGACTAACTGTTTACTGCAGTAGAATGCCCAGTATTTCTCCAGCAGAGTGATGGTGGTTTTGAACTGCTGACCACTGGGATCACAGCCCAACATGTAACCACTAAACTCTCAGTATATATATGCATATGCATTGACAAAAATAGTTTTTGTCTTCGTATGTGAATGTATGTAGCATATATAGTGTATGAAGAGAAAAATTAGGAAAGAATTGTAGAAAAATGCATTGGGATAAAAGCACAGCAATCAGTGACTACCAGAATGAAGTAGTCAAGGCTTTTTATAGAAACAAGAAGGTAGTGC